GTCAGGAACAAGGCCACCCTGGTCCAGCATCAGAAGACCCACGGCCGTAAAAAACTCCACCAGTGCAAACAGTGCTGGAAAATGTTTAAAGAAAAGAAGATTGTGATCCAGCACCAGCGGATCTGCAGCGGTGAGAGGCCCTACAAGTGTGGGGAGTGTGGGAAGAGCTTTGCACATGGCTCCAGCCTGTTCACACACCAGCGCATCCACAGTGGTGAGAGGCCCTACAAGTGTGGGGAGTGTGGGAAGAGCTTTGTGCACAGCTCCAACCTGATCAAACACCAGCACATCCACAGCGGTGAGCGGCCCTACAAGTGTGGGGAGTGTGGGAAGGCTCTTAAATATAGCTCCAGCCTGATCAGACACAAGCAGACCCACATGGGCGAGCAGCCTTACGCCTGCGACCAGTGCCAGGAGAGCTTCCGGTTCAACAAACGCAGGTTGGCCAAGCACCGGTTGACCCACACCCGCAAGAAGCCCGATGACTGCCCAAGTGCAGGAGAGCTGCAGGCAGAGCCCCCACCTCACCCAGCACCAGCGGAGCCACACTGGTGAGAAGCCCTACACCTGCGCCCACGCTGTCAGCCCAAGCTCTACCTTGACCCTCCATCGCCGCACCCACAGCAGTGAGAACCCTTACACCTCTCTGAGTGTGGGAAGAGCTTTGGATGCACCCCAACCTGGTCAAACATCTCCAGACCCACACCGGGTAGAAGCCCCATGGCTGTGGCAAGTGCTTTCATGGGAAGCATGTTGTGGTTCTACAGTTGATCTGTCACCCGATGTCTCCCCACCTGGAGGGGGTTCAGTAACAGGCAGAGAGATTCTTGAGTTTAAACATATCTATTTTAAATAATAATAAAATGTCTATTAGTAGTAATTGTAACATGAAATGTATGGAATTTTTGTATTATATTGAGGACAAGCCACCTGGAGCATGGCAAACAGGGCGGGTAAACACGGCATGGTGCAGCATTTTATGGGCAGTTCGCACAGGAAGGGCGAGCGGAAAGGCTGCTGAGGTTCAGCCACAGCAGCCGGTGAGCAATGGTTACCACCAGGCAGAGAGCCAAGGCCTCTCTCAGCCATGCACCCACCAAGGCAGACACAGCTTGGCCGCACGGG